GTTGACTCAGCCTTCCATCCTTCCGAGGTGGGTAAAATGAGGACCCGGATTGTTGTTGGGGGCAATATGCTGACTCTGTAAACCGCTTAGAGAGGCCTGAAAGGCCTATGAAGCGGTATATAAGTCTACTGTTATTGCTATAAAAAAAAGGGAAGGGAAGGGAAATGAAGGAAAGAGGCAAGGATAGTTGAGGGGGATGGAACCGAGGGAAAGGGGAACAGGAAGGGAAAGGGAAAGAAATAATATATCATGCACTATATCTAATTTGTGGGAAGACTTGGGGAAGAAATTGCTGCATGGGGGGGGGGACCCGCCAACAGCCCCCGGAGGTCTCCTCCGTTTCCACTTTCCTGCCCTTCTCTAGTCGTCCGTCGGGTCCTTCGGGCGCGGCCACAAGGCGCCCAGTCGAGCAAGGCGGGTGCCGCCCGGGCGCGGGCGCGGTCCTGGGAACGCGCATGGAGCGCGGCCGCGTGCAGCCTCGTCCTCGGATCGAGGCAGGTTCGCCTCCCTCCCCCCCCCCCCAATCGCCTCTCTTTTTCTGGGCGACGCTTAAACAGGCTATTTTTAGTCCGGCTCCGGCGGGGGACGGAAGGACGGAGGAGGCCGGAGCCGCAGCCGCAACCCCGGGCGGACCCAAGCGCGTGCCTAACCCGGCTCCGGCCGTGTCCGCCTCGAAGGGGCGTCCCCGGACACGACGGGGATGCTCGGGCGGTGAGCTAGCCGGAGGGCATGGAGGACGACTTGGCTTCCGAGGAGGACACGCGTGAGGATCGGGCGAGGGAGGCGCGCGTGGGGAAGGGGAAGGGGGTCCCTGCAAAAGGTCCCTGCCCCGGGGCACGTGCAGGTCGGAAGGCCGGGAGCCGGGAGCGACCAGATCAGCCTGGCGGGGCATCGCTTAAAGGGCTGGGGAAGGAAAAGGAGAAGGGTCGTGAAAGGCTCCCTTCCAAGGGGCGTTGGTGGGGCAGGAGCCGGACGGAATGGGGGTGGCCCGAAGCAGCGACCAGATCCCTGCTGGGTTCCAGCATCGCTGCGCGATCTCCAGCCTGCTTGTAATCCGTGAAAAGACGGGGGTGGGGTGGGGTGGATCAGTCCAACTCCCACAACTCCTGGAGCAAAAATCGCAACCTTTAGATTGTGGGGGTGGGGAGCAGTTGGAAGGCTGGGGAAGGGGAGGGGTCGTTGCCACCAACCGGCTTTAATTCAGGGTCAAAATCCTGCAAGGGTCGGCAGAAACTCCTTGGTTTTTAGGGTGGTGGGTAATTTTAGTATTTGGGGTTACACACACACACACACACACACACACACACACATACACACGTACCAACTCCCCACCCTGTTTATCAAGCCGTTGAACGGATAAAAAATTATGACACGGGGGTCGGGGGGGGGGAGTGGAATCGCATTGGCAATGTTTAGCGGCAGAAATGAATGGTTTGTCCCTTTGTCCTGTAAGGCACAAACTGTCCGTTTTGCAAACTTTAAGCCAGATGTTTCGTTTTCAAATCGCAGGAGCTGAACTGACAAGCTAAACCCATCAGATCAGTTAAAATATAGTTTCTCTCTGTGTGTCTCTGTCTCTCTCTGCATGTGTGTGTGTGTCTCATCTCTCTCTGTCTCCTCCCTCTCTCTCTGTCCCCCTCTCATCTGTGTGTGTGTGTGTCTGTGTGTCTCCCCCCCTCTCTCTCATCTCTCTCTCTGTCTCCCTCTCTCTCTCATCTCTCATCTCTCTGTGTGTGTCTCTGTCTCATCTCTCTGTCTCTGTCTCTGTCTCTGTCTCTGTCTCTCTGTCTCTCTCTCTCTCTCATCTCTGTATGTGTCTCTCTCTGTGTGTGTCTCCCACCCTCATTCATCTCTCTCTGTCTCCCTCCCTCTCTCATCTCTCATCTCTCTGTGTGTGTCTCTGTCTCATCTCTCTGTCTCTGTCTCTGTCTCTGTCTCTGTCTCTCTGTCTCTCTCTCTCTCTCATCTCTGTA